ATCCCACTCCTGGGAATTTAACCAAATCAAAAGAAATCAATATGTGAAAAAGTTATCTGTACAGCCATGTTCATTGCAGAAAAATTCACAATAGCTAAGATAGGTAATCAATAAGATAGGTAATCAACCCAGATGTCCACCAATTGTTGATTGGACAAAGAAATTCTGATACATATACATTATGGAGTACTGCTCAGCTGTGAAAAAAAATGAAATCCTGTCTTTTGCAAAAAGATGGATGCAATTTGAAACCATTATTCTTAGTAAAATAAGCCTATGCCAAAAATACAGACATCATATGTTTTCCCTGACCTGAGAGAACTAACAGATTACTTGAAATGTAATGTATTGCAGTGAAATAGACATTTTGAGATTTGATGATTTTTACAGACTTTGTCTCTTCTGTTGAAGAACTGTGTTTTTTTTTTCTCTTCAGACTTTTTTGACCTCTTTTACTCAGTGTAGAGTTACCTATACCACCATTAAGTAAATTGAAAATAGATCTTTGTAAAAAGTAAGAATGGGAATGTGAGAGGGAGGAGGAGGAAGGGTTGGAGCCTGGGCAGGAGGGAGGGTAAGGGTTGAAATGTCACTATGTTCCTAAATCTGTATATATGAAATACATGAAACATGGATAACAAATAAAATTTAAAAAAAGAAGAATCAGAGCATCTGGGGGACAGAAACTGGCACTCCTAAATGGAATGCCAGCACTGTAGGCAGCAGCTTAGCTCACTGTGCCATAACAGCCCCACACTTATCTTCCTAATAATCAGCAATGATAAGCCTGTATTCAACCTAAGAGTAAGAAATTTCAAGGTTTCTAAATCATAAAACTATGTCGATTATAGAAGCAGAAAGTACCTGACTGCCACCCAGTACAGTTCTCAGCTTTGGTCTGCTAAAATGTGCTTTCAGGAGGCTCCACTCAGGAGTCAAGACTGCCTGGATTTAAATCCTGACTTAATAACTTCCTGTTGAGAGCAATCCTCCAACAAACCCAAGTGTCCCTATTTGTTCTTGATGGGTAGGACAAAAATTCCAGGCCATGAGCACTGTTTACCCAGATCACTTCCCAGGCTTGTGTTAGCAGTATAAAATTGTGACACTTGAGATAACATCTTTCCCCAACAAGACCTTCTTTAATTTCCTATAAAAGTAGTAAAATCCTAATGTGCAAGCATCCACATAGGTTTGCTTAAATGGTTTGGATATGGTCTGAATATGTCCCCCAAAGTTTCAAGTGTTAGGAAGTTGGTCCTCAGTGTGGCAACGTTGGGTGGTGGTGTTGACTTTTAAGAACCAGAGCTCAGTGAGAGGTCATTGGCAGTGTTGCCCACAGAAGGGATTAAAGTGATTCCCGTGGGCCTCTGAGTAAGTTCTCCTGAGAGCAAGCTGTCCTAAAAGAGCCCCTTCCCCATGCTCTGGCTTCCTGTCTGGTGATATGACTGCTCATCCAACACATGCTCCTGCAATTATGATCACATCTGCCATAGCAGCCAAGACTCCTGCAAAGCCAGCGCCATGCTGTTTGGACTTTCTACCTCCCAGATGATGAGCTAAATAAGCCACTTTCCTTTATCACTTACCAGCCTCTGGAGTTTCATAATAGTAGTAGAAAATAGACTCACACATTTACTTACCTGTGTCACCCTGTAGGACTTGAGGGTCATGAGAAACTGATACAAATGTGAAGCACTGGCTACTTCTTTTGCCATGAGCTCTTTGTCTCTGATCCAGCACTCAGGAAAAAGTGACAGGCTAACTTACTGGCTTGCAAGTAGGGTAAAATATGCCAAATCCTTCACAGTTCTTGATACTTGATACCTGTGTCACTTTAAGATACAGAGAGTTCCTAACCCCCTGAAATTCTTTTTCCTCACTTGTGAAATGGGAAGGTAATGGTTTTAACACCATCAGTTCTTAAAAGAATTAAATAAAATAATAATTCCAGCATATAGTAAGTGCTCAAGAAATGTTAGCCATAGTGGCTAACATAGTGGGTAAAGCTGCCCACTGTGACACTGGCATCACATACAGGAGCCGTTTCAAGTCCTGGCTGCTCCACTTCCAATCCAGCTTCCTGCTGATGTGCCTGAGAAAGCAGAAGATAGTCCAAGTGCTTGGGCCCCTGCATCCATGTGGGAGACCCAGAAGAAGCTCCTGGCTCCTGACTCTGGCCTGACCCAGCTCTTTCTGGCCATTGCAGCCATTCGGGGAGTGAACCAGCAGATAGAATCTCTCTCTCTCTTTCTCTCTCTCTCTCTCTTTCTCCCCTCTCTCTCTCTGCCTTTCAAATACATAAATATTTTTTTAAAAAAAAGTTAGCTGGATTCAGCATTGTGGCACAGCAGGCTAAGTCACCACTTGTGACTATGGCATTCCATATCAGAGTGCCAGTTCAAGTCCTGGCTGTTCTGCTTCTGATCACACTGTCTGCTAATCTACCTGGGAAAGAATCAGATGATGGTCCAAGTACTTAGATCCTTGTCACCCCTGTGAGAGACTACAATGAAGTTTCTAGCTCCTGGCTTCTGACTGGCCCAGCCAGGCCATTGCAGCCATTTAGGCAGCAAACCAGCAAATAAAAGATCTTTATTTCTGTCTCTCCCTGCTACTCAGCCTAATACATATATGTTAGATAATTACTAATGAAACTTTTCTAAAGTTTCCAAAAGACTAATGATAATAATATATTAAAATATCTCAGAGGAATCACATACTCATTTTAGTCAAAAGGGAAAAAATGCCTGTAACATAAGCCATAATGTTAGCAAATATATATACTAAATTACTTAATCCTCATGGGTAGGTGTCATTATGCTCATTTTACAGATAAGAAAATCAGCATTGTGAGTGTACATAATTTTTTTAAGATCACAAAGCTAGCAAGCAGTATTTATGGGATCAAAATCCAAGTAGTCTGGGTTCAGAACCCATGTTCTTAATCACTTCACTGTGTTGTATTTCAGTGTAGGCATCTGTGGGGGCTAGGAGAGAGGAGGAAAGGTGTCCTGGTGATTAAGAAAAAGTATAAGAACTGCTGATTTTTCTCTTGATGAGGAAGCTGAGACCCACGGATACTTCAAGGTAAGTTAGTGTTGGTCAGTCTCAAACAATTTTACCATCAAACAAATTATCAGAGGCTGTCTTGCATTTTTAAGTGGGAAATATGACTAGTATTATAGTAGTCAATTTTTTTCTCACCCATCTAGATTAAGCAACTACTTATATTGGTTCTTAACATCCCTCAGATGTATTTTAAGATGCTCTACTTGTACAGGTGAATATTATACTCTTGCTGCAGTAGATACAAACATAAATGACAAATCACACAAATTGCAGTGTGAAATGTAAAATGTGAAATTCCAGCACAAACAGCTAGCGGGAACCAATTGTAACTGTAGTTTGAAAAAAATGCTTAAAATTCTTTTCATTACTATAACTGTTAATTTTGTTGTTACTGTTTTTAAAAGAATAATATATGTTTACAGAGAATAAATAAACCTAACAGAAAGACATAAAATAATGTCTGATTAGCCTGATACTCTTAATTTTATTCTGTATTACTAAACAATGTTAAGTTTTATCTTCCCAGAAACTATGTATGAAGCTAAAATTATATAATAAAGTCATATTTGCTTGTGATCATATCAATGTATCTTTAAAATCTACATTTCTGTTTACAATTTTAATTTTTATATTAATGTCAACATACATTTAACATATTTTTAACATTAATCTCTACATAAAACTTCATTGTAATTTCATTTCAGGGCTAAGCCATATTATATTCTGTTATTGTCCTACGGATGGCCATTTGTCTCCATCATCTCACTATAAAAAATAGTTCTACAGCAAAAACCTTGTACAAACATCTCTGTATTCATGGGCAGATAAATTGTAAGTTTCCAGAATTAGAATGGATAAGTCAAAGAGCAAGCAGATCTTAATTTTGCTAAATCCTATCAAATCGCTTTGCAAAAAGGCAGCAGAACAGTCTCTGGGTTTCTTATGTGGTTATATTGTTTTATGAATTTTAACAATTAAATACCTCTTTATTGTGTGTCCCAATTATATTTCCCATCATGCATTTCATGCTGTTTCTTTTACTATACAGAAATTTTAGAATACTAATGAAATGTTGATCCTTTGCTTATGCAAGTTCCCAAAACTTTGTTTAAAAACCACGTCTCACTGAAACGTGCATTCTTATTTTCATCCATCCATCCATGTTGGAGAAAACAGCTCCAACACGCACAGAGTTAAGCGTGAAAGCAAAGTACAGAACTGTCTGTGCAATACTGCACATACAATCATATGTTGTGAATGCACAGAGCACCTCTGGAAGGTCAACTGGGTTACAGAGGGGGATGGGTACTGGACAGTTTCACTGTTCATCCTTTTCATTGTTTGAAAGTTTTCTCAAAAGTTTTAATGTTGGGAATGACGCTGTAGCGCAGCCGGTAAAGCTGCCGCCTGCAGTGCCAGCATGCAATATGGACGCCAGTTCAAGTCCCGGCTACTCCACTACCCATCCAGCTCTCTGCTATGGCCTGGAAAAGCACTGGAAGATGGACTAAGTCCTTGGGCCCCTGCACCCATGTGGAAGACCAGGAAGAAGCTCCTGGCTCCTGATCCACGCAGCTCCTGCCGTTGTGGCCAATTGGAGAGTGAACCAGCAGATGGAAGACCTCTCTGTCTCTACCTCTCCTCTCTCTGTGTAACTCTTTCAAATAAATAATTTTTTTAAAAAAGTTTTAATGTTACTATTTAAAATTTCTAAAAACTTCTTTATATTTGCATCCAAGAGCCCCTCTTTTCACCTATAACGCCTGGCATAACTCTGACCCTGGAAACCTTGAGAAACCTAGGATGTTAGTGTAAGCAGGAAGGCAGGGATCCAGTCCAATCTTCAACCAAACGGCTTGCTGGCTTTTTAAGTGTGTCAAGAGACAAGCACCGCGAGTGTACAGAATACGCGAGCGCCGGACGCGCACCGTGTGACCACGAGGAGTCCACAGCGAAGGCGCGGCCAGCGCGGGTCTGGGCTAATGGGGCGCGGCCACCGGGACGAGAGCGCTCGGTGAGGCGAAGGGCCCTGCCTCGATGCTGCCGCTTCCCGTCCCACACAGGACAGACGCAGCTAGAAAGGAACCAAGACAGGACGCTCTGAGCGGTTTTTAAAGTAACCGTAGGACTGTCACGACCGGCCAGGCCGCCCGCCCCGGACCAGCCCCCGCACACTGACCTGAGTCTCCAGGGCCAGAGAGCTGCTGGCCAAGGCCGGCTCTAAGCGTCCGCTGGGGAGAGGGGAGCCAGAACCTGTCGTCCTACCTGACTGAAAAACGCAGCTACTCCGCTCCTAGCGGCTCCTCGGGCTGGGTGGAAGCAGCGTTGATACTCCCGGATTCTGTTAGCGGCCGTATCCTAGCAACGGCGCCAACGCCGCCTGCTCCTGCCGGGCCCGCCGGCCGCGAGCGGAGCCGCTTCCCGCGCTTTCCCCGTCGGGCGGGAGGGGAAGGGAGAGCTGGCAGCCTACATCCCGAAGACGAAGAAGCCTCCTAGACCCCTTTTACCCTCGAGAAAGGGCACGATTCTCCCAACAGAACTCTGGACAACAACTTCAACGTTACAGATAAAAATAAAAATCTGAAAAAAGTTAAGTATCACGTGAAGAGGCAAGAAATTGCCAACCTACTTTGTTAAATCTGCAACTTGACTTTCAGGTTGATGGTAACGAAAGAGAAAAAGGAGATCTTAAACATAACAGCAGCTAACATTTATTGTCACTAAGAACCTTACAGTAATTTCTAATTTAATCACTCGCTTTATTAGAGGTAGTATTAGCCTCATTTTACTAATAAGGAAACTAAGAGACATAGAGATTTAGCCTGACTCGAGCCTAAATTTTTAAGACATAATCTATGCCTTTGGTATTTAAAAAGAATCCAATCTTAATAAAATTAAAATCTTTGTTCCCTATTTCATGAGTTCATTGCTTTGTTAAAATTCCAATTTCATCTCCCAAAACTGCCAAATGTCACTTTTTCAGTTCTGATCCTATTTTAAAATAGGTATTTCCTACAAGCACAATATGAAATATGTATTATACTCCTGATTAAAAGTGGATTGAAATAAATTGAAATGAAAGCAATCACATTTTAATCATTTCCACAATTTCATTGAAAGTAAAGGGATTAAACCACATGAAGATAACAAGTATTAGTTTTTCAGGGTACACCTGGTGTGATCAGGGGCGTACAGACAAGTTCTTCCAAATCATTAGTCTTCAAAATCCTTTCTTGAATTTTACTAATGAAATTCCAGATTTTCAACACTTGCTTTCCTGAGTTTCCTCTCATTCACTGTACTTCATGTTACAGTGTGAAAACCCAAGGCATAAGAATAGAGGCAGGAGACAGAACAACAAACAGGTGGTAGAGAACTTTAATTACCTGTTTTCATGTGCCTTGATATCCATTACATACTCATTTCTCACTTAGGGTTTGCTGTGGTGATGACTTTATAATAAATCTTATTTTGATCAAGGTACCATGCTAATGTTAAAAAATCGGCATTCCTAGAAACTAAGTACTATTTAGTGGCAGAAAAGAATAGTGTCTCCAACTTTTTTGTATTAGGTTTATATATTTATTTCAAAGTGAGAGCGTGAGTGTTAGCACAAGAGCATGTAAGAGTGCTTCCATCTGTTGGTTCACTCCCCACATGGCCGCAATGGCCCAGGGCAGGGCCAATCTGGAGCCAGCAGCTTCTTCCTGGTCTCCCAAGTGGGTGCAGGGGCCCAAACACTTGGACCATCATCTTCTGCTGCTTTCCCAGGCTAATTAACATTAGCAGGGAGCTAGAACACAAGTGAGCTGATGCCTTATATGGGATGCTGGAGTCAAAGGTGGTGGCTTACCCAGGTCACCAGAGTAGTGGCCTGCTACAACTAAATCTTGTAAGTACCTTAGTACTGAGGTTCCTCCAGTAGTCTATATAGCTTGGAAATGTTATCAGCACATCAAAACCACACACACATACACACAGATACACAGTTATTTGGTTACATAAAATAAATGTAAATGCAAGCTCAATTCAATTACAAAAATGGAAAACTTTACAGTATCATTTTTCATTTGACTTTTCAAAATAAATCTACACATTACCTCAGGATTTATAGCCCCAAATAATTTATATTTATCTCTCATGAATCATGTCAGCATTTGTTTATACATTTCTTTAGCATGTTTTTCTTCTTATTTTACAATACTATTTCTTTTCATGTGTTTTTATTTTTACAAAGATGCCATCTAGTGGCTTTCTGAAATCAAGCATTTCAAAGTATTTCCGATGTCAATCCAGGTAAGACTGTACCTCGATGTAAATTTTAAAGAATTAAGGACCTGTGCTCACTTCAGCAGCACATATACTAAAAAGAACAAAGGACCTGAAAATTATGCTTACGAAATTATCAATATGGATCGAATTTGGATCACAGTAACTTTTTTTAAAAAACATTTATTTATTGATTTGAAAGACAGAGTTAGAGAGTTACAGGCAGAAAGAGAAGTCTTCCATCCGCTGGTTCACTCCCCAAATGGCTGCAACAGCCAGAGCTGGGCCAATCTGAAGCCAGGAGCAAGGAGCTTCTTCCAGGTCTCCCAAAGCGGGTGCAGGAGCCCAAGCACTTGGGCCATCTTCTACTGCTTTCTCAGGCCACAGCAGAGAGGTAGATTGGAAGAGGAGCAGCCGGGACTTGAAGCGGCACCCATACAGGATGCCAACACTGCAGGCAGTGGCCACACAGTAAGAGAGGCCCACAGTACCTATTCCAAAATTTTTGGGACAGATGTGTTTTATATTCAGGATTTTTCAGGTTTTTGAATGGTAATATAGGTATATACTTTACATTATGTAATAAATTCAGTGAAGCGACCCAGAATCAAACACATTAATACTTTCATTGCAAAATATATTCACATTCACATTCAAGTGGGATAAAGACCACAAGGGCCTTATAAAATTTAGGTAAGGTTTTGTTTCCAAAAGAATTACAGGGAAAAATTCCTTCCACTTTCAGATATTTTCTGAAATTGTAATTTAGATAAAGAATTATGGACCAGTTTTACATGGAAAAAAAGAAAACTAACCATCCAATTATAAAAAAACAGCAAAATGTAACATTCTGTAGTAAAAGGTAAAGTTTATCTTTGGAAAAGCAAAAAGGTTCACCTATAAAAAGAATTCACAATATGTGAAGATCACAAATAATCTGTAGGCAGCCCATAAACAAGTCATAGACAAGTCAAGGTCAGTCTTGGCTTTGGAATCCCTGGAATAAAAAAGTCACGTACTCCCATGTTGAAGGAGAATGATCAAACAAGAACACTCTGTTAAAATTAACTATGTTATGACTGTGTTGTACAAAGCCTGATAAGTTGCTTGTGTATGTTGCTACCTTCTGTGTTGCCTTGAGCTACAGCTGGTTTATATAAATATTGCTGAAGACACTGGAATAAACAAGCCTTGATCAGCCTTGTTGTCTTGGCTCCATTCTCTGCACCTTTGTCCCTTTTCTCATTCCCATGCCCCTCTTCAGGTTCCGTTCGACTGGTGCGGTTGGCCCGCACAATAATCCCAAAAAACAATCTCTATAGCACTTTTCACGTTGTCATATGCAGAAGCTGAATCTAACACAAATTACATTAAAGTATATCAGAAAAAGTTAACTGCTGAAGATTTCTTTTGAATTTTATTAAATAGCAGTGCACAGTGAGTTCTATTTACAAGTTATATGGCACACTGACAAAATATACACTGGTTTTAAGTTTCTTTCTATATGTGATCTTCCATTTTCTCTTTTCCTGTCATTATGCTCACAAAATCATGTGTTGAGATAGTTGAAACCCTTATGTCACTCTCAGGAGCATACTCTTCCAATCCTCCTTAGACATGCAGTATGAAGAAAAAAGAGATCAGTTAACACACTGGAATTTTGGGGAAGCCTATGACAAAGTCACTATTTTCCTCACTACCTAAGTTTTAGATTATTGTCTCTAAATAAAGACCTTCAAATAAGCTTCTCTGGTCCCTTTCAGTAATTCATGTCCCTTATCACACTTCCACTTTGATTTCCTGTGTATCTTGTCTAAAACAAAACCTCATCCTTCTCTAAACTCCAGTTGTTTTAGTTTTTTACTGAAAAAAAACTAGCATTACTAAATATTGCAGCATAGGCTACAATCAATTGTAGAGTGAGTTTTAATGGAGAAGTAACCTGCAGCGAATATACAATACCTCGTGTTCAGCAACTTGGTTCCTAACCCTAAACTCCAGAACACATTTCATAAGATGCTAATTATCTGCTTGTTTATATAACTACAGAGGCTTCCAGAAAAAAGAAAAAGCTAGTATTAGCCTTTAAGTGGCAACTTTGCTCCGTTGATTTCACCTTCAGAAAGTGAAACATTTATGTTAATCAGCTTATCTTGATTAGAAAAGGAAATAAACAAAAGACAGGCTTTCTTCCATCCCTCTGAGGGAAAAAGCAAAGTGAGCACAGAATGAAGAGTGAAGGGACACAGTGAATCCTGAGACCTGGGACAGATCATGGCTGCTACTGTTGGCAACACACTGATTCTGTTCAGCTGATAAACTACTTCTCCAGCTCATCCTGATGGAGGAAGCATGGCAACTCTGAAAACTGAACCTGTTTGCCCAGGTCAGTCATGGTATCTATGTTATCCCTATAAAATCACATTATTAATACTTCTTTTCACTCTTTAAATCATTCCAGGTCGGATGATACGGTAATCCTAGACATAAGGCCCTTTTATCTCAAAGGAAAAAATGCCAAAAATTGGAAAATTCTGAACTTAATCTAAGTGTGAGAAAGAAGACATCAACCTTGTTATTTTCTTATTTGCCAAGCATTTGTGCTACCTTCTGCTGCTGTCCCAGGTGCATTAGCTGAGAGCTGAATCAAAGCGGAGCAGCCATAAACTGGCACCACCAGCTTAACCCACTAAGTTGGCCCCATTTCCCAGATTTTTGTTGTTTCCTATTTCCTTTTTACTTCCTTTCCATCTCCTTTACTTCCTGTTTCTTTTGTTTCCGTCTTTTTCCCCTTCTTTTCTGATTTTTTGTGATGCAATATGTTAAGCTGCAGCTTGCAACCCTGGCATCCCATACTGGAGTGCCTCTGTTTGAGTCCTGATTGTGCTTCCAATCCAGTTTCCTACTAATGCAAACCTGGAGAGGCAGCAGGTGCTAGCTCAAGTAGTTGAGTCCCTGTTACCCAAGAGTGAGACCCAGAGTGATTTTGGGCTCCTGCCTGAAGCTTGGCCCAGCCATAGCTGTTGCTGGCATCTGGGGAGTGCGTCAGCAATAGGAAGTTGTCTCTTTCCTTCTCTAACTTTCAAATTTAATTTAAAAATAAAATTACAAATGAAAGAAAGAAATTCTACTTCTTTTGCAAAAACAGGCCATCTCAGAGCCAACAACTAGCCTGAACTTACTGAGTTCATGCTGGCAGCAATATTACAGGAAGAAAGGATCCCTGGGTTTCTGGCTGCCAGGAAGGCTTTTTCCCACTTCCCTTGCAGAAGAAGTTGCCTTATAATCTGCGAGGAAGTAACTCCTCTACACCTTATTTAATACTTTTATTAACATTCACTTTACAGTTCTGTGAGGGGAGAAATGTACCAAAAAAAAAGGAAAAATGCAATTTTTATCATTCTGAAGGAATGGTTTGTCACAAAACATAGCAAAACACACAAACATGAACACACATCGAAAAACAAAACCGCTGTCTATGAAGGGAAGAAATACCAAGTTAGATTAACAAGATATTTAGAATTGATGGGGGAGAAGGAAAAAGGTGAGGACACACGAAAAGTAATTTTGTTTAACGGGAAGCTTACTGACTTCTTTTTCCTCAAATAGCATTTGTCTTCTGTTTTAGAGATACAGCTGCACTTATATTAGAAATTTAGTGAAAACTATTTAGTGATTCCACTTTGAACTTCTACCATATGACTTAGGTATTTTGAATATAAGCCTGTTTGTATGCCAGACAATCTGGAGAAACTCATTTAACAGCCATTTTAAAAAGGAAATTCTACCTCTCTTCTGATGTGGTTGTATTGACCGATAAAATTAATGGATAAGGGCCAGAAAGGTAACTTCTTTAAACAAAAAAAGTGAAAAGCTTTTCCAACTACCTCTGTACAATAAAAAAATTTCAAGTACCAAATAAGTTTCCTCAATAGTATAATAAATCCTAATTTAAAGGTAGATAATATCTACTCAAAGATGATAGAGTAACAATAATAAAATGTTAAAAATATGCAATTGCAAATGGAATAATTCAAATATAAACTAATACACTAATAATGAATATGGCAATCAATATAATTATATATCTATATTTTACTTTATAAACATCTGATCACAGCCAAAGAAGTTAACCACAACATAAAATTTTATCACCAACCCTTTTTGCTGTTTTCTTACAACTAAATATAATCACCCTTACTACTTCACTTCTAACACTAACCTGTAAATTTGTTTAGGGGCTGGTGTTGTAGTGTAGCAGGTAAAGGTGCTGCCAGTGATGCAAACATCCTACATGGGCACCAGTTCACGTTCCACCTGCTCCACTTCTCAACTAGCTCCCTGCTAATGGCCTGGGAAAGCAGTGGAAGACAGCCCAAGTGTTTGGGCCCCAGACACCCAAGTAGGAAACCTGGAAGAAGCACCTGGCACCTGGATGCCTGTCACAGCCCTGGCCATTGTGGCCTTCTCGGGAAGTGAACCAGAAGATGGAAAACCTCTTTCTCTTTCTCTCCCTCTCTGTAGCTCTTTCAAATAAATAAATAAATCTTTTAAAAAAAATTGTTTAGACAAAAACAACTAAGTACCTTTCCTCCCAAATTTTTCTGGATAATAAAAAACTAAATGATGTATTGAAGACTCTCCTAAAGATATAGCCTTTTGATTATGGCCTCTCTATTGAAATTGAAGACTTAACAGGAATTTTTCTAATTAACTCTCAAATCTCCCCACAACCTCTCTGTTCAATAAATACCATCTCTGAAATAATCTGAGCAAATACTTTATAAGTCAAAAACTGATTCATAAGACTCTTACCATAATAACTAATTTAGTCTCCTAACTATGCCCCTTTTCAGTTTTCTTGACTAAGATGTCAATAACATGGAAACATTTTTAAATATAATAGAACATTTAATTACATCAGTTTCCCATCAACCTATCAAAATCACATAATTTTAGATGATTATATTGGCCATTTCCACTGGTTGGCAGGAGGTTCTTCCACTAATGGCTCCCATGGTTTCCACTGCATCATTTTTCTTGCCAGACTTAGTTCATTTTCAGCCTGTTAGTAAAAATTTATAAAAAGATCATTTGATTTTACTTTCCAACAGTTGTTCTCAGCTAGTGATGAAATTTAACTATCAGAGCTACTACTTTCATAATATTATCTCATGATTCATTCTACTAGCAAATTAACAATACTTAAATTATCTTAGTTCTCACAGCTACATAATCATAAGAAAAGCTATCTTTTGATTTCTACATATTTGATATCTGTTGTAATTAGTGTTCAAAAGTTTACTTTGTTAGATTTTAATACCAATTGTGTTTCACAAGTTCTCTGAGGACCAGAAGCATAAAGGTACTTTAAAAAGTTTGTTGAAATATGACAAAGTATTACTGAGATTATTTATCAAACACAAAATATAAGAACATATTTTAAAATTATAACTTTACTACTAATTGAGGAGAAAATGCACAATTAAAAAAAGAAGAAATGAGAAATGATTTCTCCTCATTAAATTAAAACAACACTCTTACCAACACACTTGCTATAATAGATATTTCTGAAATACTGCTGTGGCACTAGAAATTAAGCTTTTTATAAAATAATCTGGTAATACAGACCAAAACTTAACTTATATGTGAGTTATATGACTAGTAATTAAGGTTCTGATCCAAATAACAGAAAAATGGAAAAAGATGTTTGTACAACCATATTAATCAAACTATTATTCATAATAGCAAAATATTTTTAATTTTATGTAAAAAATATTTAAAAGTACAATTTCTACCAAAAAAATTGCAAAGCATTTGATTCAATTATTTTCCAAGCTATCAACCATGTTTCACTGAACAAAAAGGAGTTATCTTCCTGCACACTCAGCACTTAAATTATATAAAACAGGGAATAAAAAAATCATTCTGATGAAAAAGACTTATTCAGGAAGCTAATTTTAGCATGTACTTTGGGTTAGTATAAACCTAGTCTAATATTATATCCCACCAAATTTTAAGAAACAGAAAACAATTTATCATCATTTTTTTCCATTTTCGATTAACTTTATACACAGAAGACCAGCTCTATACTAAGAGTTCAACAATTTGCAGGGAAAAAAAAAAAACTGTTCCTCAACAGTCGAGACAAGGGCTATTCAAAGTCATTGCATCTTGAAGTTAATTTTCACTTCTTTATTTTTTCTTTAGAAATTTCATTAACTTTAAAGAAGCACCCAACAATGATACCTCTTTTGCAAGCAAGCATTGAGACATTTTATTTTTATACATTTTAATACAACACTTTGAAGACAGAGGTCCTGCATGGGAAGTTAGTGCACAGTGACTCTTGTTGTTAATTTAACAATTAACACTCATATATGACGTCAGTGATCACCCAAGGCACTTGACATGAGCTGCCTAGGCTATGGAAGCCTTTTAAATCCACAAACTCCATCAGTATTTAGACAAGGCCATAATTAAAGTGATGTTCTCTCCTCCCATCAGAGAAAAGTACCTCCTTCTTTGATGACCACTTCTTTCCACTGGGGTCTCACCCACAGAGGTCCATTTTGCAGGACATTTTTTACAACAGTATCTTGGGCTCTCCATTCCTAAAATGCTCTTGTGGGCTTTTCAGTTAGACCAGAATGCCTTAAGGGCTGATTCTGAGGTCAGAGTGGGATTTAAAGTAATTGTCATTCTATGAGTCTGCTGTGTGGATTGCTTCCCATGTTGGAGAATTCACTCCCTTTTAATTCTATCTACCATTATTACCATACACTCAATCCTATAAGATGGTATTATTACCACACAGCTGAGGGGGATTTGGGGTCTCATGACAAGTTTTTAAACTGTACCTTTAGAAGTAAGTCCATAGGAATGTATTCAGAACTATACAGCTGTACAGTTACAAACCATACATTTCATAATTACAACTCTAGATACATGGTGATTCTTCCCACCATGTCTGCCCTCTCACCCATCTTCTCACCCCTCTTCCTCCTCCATCTCTTATTCCCACTCTTATTTTTTTACTGAGATCTATTTTCAGTTGACTTTATACACAGATGTTTAACTCTAGGTTAAGTAAAGAGTTTAGCAAACAGTATATAAAAAAAACAAACAAAAAAAACTGTTCCTGAACAGTAAAACAGGGGCTGTTCGAAGTGTCAATTTCACTTCTATAGATTGCCTTTTAGGTGCTCTATTAGTTATCACAGGTGAGGGAGAACATATGGCATTTGTCCCTTTAGGACTGGCTTATTTCACTAAGTATGATATTTTCCAGACTCATCCATTTTGTTGTAAACAACCAGATTTCATTTTTTACCACTGTGTAGTATTCCATAGTGTACATATCCCATAATTTCTTTACCCAGTCTTCAGTTGATGGGCATTTGGGTTGATTCCGTATCTTAGCTATTATGAATGGGGCTGCAATAAACGTGGGGTACTGAAAACTCTTTCATATCCTGCTTTCATTTCCCTTGGGTAAATTCCCAGGAGTGGGATTGCTGGATCATTTGGTAGCTCTATATTCAGATTTCTGAACTATCTCCATACTGTCTTCCATAGTGGCTTTACCAATTTACATTCCCACCAATAGTGGATTAAGGTACCTTTTCCCCCACATCCTTGCCAGCATTTATTGTTTGTTGATTTCTGTATAAAGGCCATTCTAACAGGGGTGAGGTGAAACCTATCATGATTACTTTAACCCATTAAGAAGTTATATTCACTCTGGTCGTAGTATAAAAAAAATATTTGTATTTTTCAACAAAAATGCAGATGATTTTAAAAACCAACCTTGAATATTCAAATCAGTATTTTTTCTAGCCTATTCATTTTTGTACCTTATCCATGATCAATGAAAAAGGAAAAATTCAGATTCAGGTTAAACAAAATTAAACTGCAGGATTTTGTCTTATTTCTTGCATAAGTATGACTACAGCAAAAAAGAAGGAAAAATGACTTAAATATTCTAAATATAAAAATATTTAAGTTTTCTAATCCTAGTGGCTCTTGACAAGGATGCTTAAATTTTACTATCAAACACCTATTCTTGTCAAGGTTAATATTTGAGTAACAATGTAAAATCAAATTCAAATACATTCTGCAATTAAAAATAGTTTTTTAACTTGACCAAGTGCTTAATAACCAAAAATAAAAACACATTTTAATTTTAAATTCAAACATCTGTATTTTTACATATTAAAAAAAATACCAAGCTCTTAAAATAAGCAAATGCATCTAAAAAGAGAACATTGCTAAAATAACAGTAAGACTTAATTTAACTAAGTTAAGGCTAACAGGAATGTGCTGACTAAATTCAAAGAAAAGCCGGCGCCACAGCTCAATAGGCTAATCCTCCACCTAGCGGCGCCAGCATACCAGGTTCTAGTCCCGGTCAGGGCACCAGATTCTGTCCTGGTTACCCCTCTTCCAGGCCAGCTCTCTGCTGTGGCCAGGGAGTGCAGTGGAGGATGGCCCAAGTCCTTGGGCCCTGCACCCCATGGGAGACCAGGAGAAGCACCTGGCTCCTGCCTTTGGATCAGCGCGGTGCGCCGGCTGCAGCACGCCAGCCGTGGCGGCCATTGGAGGGTGAACCAATGGCAAAAGGAAGACCTTTCTCTCTGTCTCTCTCTCACTATCCACTCTGCCTGTCAAAAAAAAAAAAAAATTTTTTTTCAAAGAAAATCAAATTTCAAACTTCCAATGAACCTTCAGAAATAGAGGCTAGAATCAATGATAAATATTTAATTGACTTACACATTAAAAACATCACATTTTCTATGTTTAAATCATTTTACATTTCATGAGTCAACATAAAAAACAAATTTAATTTCCTATTCAAGATGTCAGTTTTGTGTCTATTTAAAAGCAACATTTGAAACCAAACATCTATATTCAACTTTTTCTTTACCTGAAGAATCACCTCTTCTATTTGGCCACCCTGAAGCTGGTCTTCTAATTTTTTAACATCTGATTCCTACAATTTTGGAAGGGGACAAAGAAAGAAAAAATTTTAAAAAAAGAGCACACCTGAATGTTGCAGTATCCTATATTTTAAAAACCTATATATTACAAAAGAAAATAAACAGGCAGGCACTTGACACAGTCATCAAGCCATTGCTTGGGATGCCTGCATCCCATATCAAGAGTGCTTGTGTTCAAATCTTGGCTCCTCTCTCCATTCTAGCTTATTGTTAATACACACTCAGGGAGATAAAAGGTAATGGCTACACTTGAAAGACGAATATGGGGAAGCTCACCTCTGCCTACTGTCCCCCACCCCCACGCCCAGCCCTGCTAAGATACAAAAAGGTCCAGCCCCTGGGGTTGGAGCCTTCTGCCATGTGTCCAGTCTGTGCAGGCCAGCAGTTGGTCTTCCACCTCTGCAGATTTATTTTCTCTGAATAAATTTGGTCTGGCTGCAGGAAAAAAAAATAAAAATATATATATATATATATAAATATATATATATATATATATATATATATAAAATGGTTCAGGTACTTGGATCCCTGCCACCCACGTAGAAGACATGGATTGCATCCAGGGCTCCTGGTTTTGGCCTGATTTTGGCCTGACCAGCTCTAGTTGTTGCAGGCATTTGAGCACTGTCCTTACTAAGTTTTCACCAACTTGGTGGAAATCCATCACTTATCTCTGTAATTGTATTGTTTTTCTGTCTTAATACTAATGTGTTAAATATTTACTGACATGTTTACCAAGGAGTAAGACATATGATGCAGTCTTAGGTAAGACCTAATGCAGTCTTTTAAAAATAAATTTTAAAATATCATTTTGTTTCTCTAAGTATTTCCTACATTTCCTGAGAGTATTAACATTAAAAAGTCAATGCTATCCTATGACCCAGAATGTTCACAGCAGTACAAATTATAGCCCCAAACTAGCAACAACCCTAATGAACATGTTTAACAAAATGAATCGAAAAACTATGGTATTATATCACAGAATATAGCAATAAGAATGAACAAACTACAACTATACACAACAATATAGATGATTCTCTCAAAATAAACAAAAAGAAATGATACACAAAAGAGGACCTACTAATGATTCCATTTATATGAAATTCAAAACAAGGCTTTGGGTATTCTAGAAATAGCTCATTAATTTGAGTGTGGTCACTTTATAAAAACTGATTAAGTTCTATACTTAGGATTTCTGCCCGTTTTTATGTTCAATATTTTTTTTTTAAGATTTAGTTACTTAGGTCGGCACCACGGCTCACTAGGTTAATCCTCCGCCTGCAGCACCAGTATCCTGGGTTCTAGTCCCGGTTGCTTCTCTTCCAGTCTAGCTCTCTGCTGTGGCCCGGGAAGGCAGTGGAGGATGGCTCAAGTGCTTGGGCCCTGCACCCGCATGGGAGACCAGGAGGAAGCACCTGGCTCCTGGCTTCGGATCAGCGCAGCGCGCTGGCCGTAACAACCACTTGAGGGTGAACCAACGGAAGGAAGACCTTTCTTTCTGTCTCTCTCTCACTAACTCTGCCTGTCAAAAAAAAAAAAAAAAAAAAAAAAAAAAGGTTTAGTTATTTATTTGAAAGAGTTACAGAGAGGCAGAAGCAGAAAGAAAGAAAGAGAAAGAGGTCTTCCATTCGCTGGTTTACTCCCCAGATGGCTGCAATGGCCAGAGCTGGACTCATCTGAAGCTAGGAGCCAATTCCTTCTTGGTCTCTCACATGGGTGCAGGGGCCCAACGACTATGCGATGCAGGGACCCAAGGACTTGGGCAATCTTCTACTGCTTTCCCAGGCCACAGCAGAGAGCTGAAGTAGAGCAGCTGGGACTGGAACCAGTGCCCATATGGGATGCCAGCACAACAGGTGGCAGCTTTACCTGCTATGACATAACGCTGGACCCTATGTACAATATTTTTAATAAAATGTTTTTAGAAGGAAATGCCAAAACAGTAACTAGAATATTCACAACAGAGAGAAACAAAAAGAGTGCTCCCACTTACTGGCTCACTCTCCAAATGCCAGCTGGGTGGGAGCCAGAAAATTGATCCCTTTCTCCTACATGGATGGCAGGAAATCAACTACTTGAGTCATCACCACTATTTCCCATGTATCTGCACTAGCAAGAAGCTGGCACAAGGAGTCACAGCTGCACTGCAAACCCTGAAACCCAGTTTGGGACATAGGCTTCTAAACCAGCATCTTAACTGCTAAACAATGACATTTATTAATTTTCTAGTAGACTGGGAACTATGAGCCAGAAACCATGTCCTACAATATACCCACATAAGTGAATAAGGCTTTTTCATTATCAGGATGGTTTCTGGACTTACAAATAGAATTCAGAAAGAGAAAAAAATACTTGAAGATTTTTAAAAACAGGAATTGACAAGTTCATGCCTCAGAGTATCTGCTAGATGGTCCAAGATACTGCTGCACGGCTTCTACCTTCCCACTCCTCCCAAATCTTTGCTCAAATATCACCTTCTTGGTGAGGATACTCATAATTTATATTGTGGTTGGTTGAATAATATCCCACACAACACACCTCCAATTTAATCTCTGGAACTTGGGGATGTTACCTTACATGACAAAGACTTTATAGATGCAATTAAGGAGATTTTCCTGGCTTACTGGTGACAGCTTTAAATACAATTTAAGTGTCCTTTCAAGAGAGGCTGAAGGAAATTACACACAGGAAAATATTATGTGGCCATGCAGGAAGAAAGTGGAGTGATGTAGCCTCAAGTCAAGGAATTCCAAAAGCCACTAGGAACTGGAAAAAGGATTGGATTTTCTCCTAGAGCTTCCAGAAGCATCAGCCTGCTGATATGTTGATTTGAGTCCCTAATACTAACTTCACACTTCTTAGTCTCTAGAAATTTAAGACAACAAACTTCGAATGTCTTTAAAAAGACACGAAGTTCATAGTAATATGTTATAATAGCCACAGGAAACCAATACCTATTATTCATAACCCCATACCCACTTGGTTTGCTTTCCACTTAACCATCTTATTTTTTCTTTTTTTCTTTCTTTCTTTTTTTTTTTTTTTTCCTCTCATCACTAACACGCAATCTCCAAGGGGACAAGAATTTTTTTCTGTTTTGTTCACCACCATCTAGGCACAAGCTGCTATCACTAAAATCATATGACATAGCCAGTGCTTCTTAGTTAAATAAATAAAAGACAGTTAAGAGGCAGGCTTTAGCCTACAAGTTCAGACATTGGTTAAGACACCTGTGTACCACATCAGATGATGTGGACTCACAGGCTCTGGCTCCTAATTCCTAATTCCAGTTTCTTGCTAATATAGACTCTGAGAGGCAGTGGTGATGGCTTAAGAAGCTGTGTCCCTGCCATCCACAGAGACACAGACTGAGTTCCTGGCTCCTGGCTTCAGTCCAGCTCGGTCTTGGCCACTGTGGGACTTTGGGGAGTGAATCAGCAGAGATGAGAAGCTCTCTGTGTGTCTTTCTCTCCCTCCCCTCCCTTCTTTTCTGCCTCTCAGTGAAAACATAAAAATTGTTTGCAGCTGTTAAAAAAAACTTTGCAAAAATAGTTCAGAAGGGACAAATAAGAAAAAATGGACAAGCAAGTTTGAGAAAGACTATTTAACCCAAAATTATCTATGAAGCCAAAAATTAAACACAAAATAAGGTGCTGATCACCATTATAAGAGACTCAGGAAAGGCAAGGAACGTTCAACAATATTTTCAAGTCAGGAAAAACAAAATTTGTCATAATACTCAGTCAATACTATTTTTATTTACCAATGGTAAATAAAATACCAATAAATAAATAAAATACCAATGACTGAATGTTTACTATGTGCCCAGGACAAGGATACACTTTTTACATATATTACCTTATTCAGTGTTTGGCAGCTAACAATAAGTGTTCTAGGTAGCTATTATTATAATTATACCAATGTTACAGATAAAAACATTATAATATAAAATATGGTCAACTTTGCAAGCCACTCCAAATAAGTATTTGAATATATTGGATAGGATACAAACCAGTATTTTCCACCAATATGCTATTGCTATCTTCCCTAGTAATAACCTGAAGCAATATTTATTTTTATTTTCATTGTATGCTTTAATAAAAATACTTCATAATCATAACAATATTCTTGTAACTATACAGGATTTAAAATCTGTGATTTTACAAAAACAGGATTGGAGACACAACTGTTCTAAAGTACTTGGGCTTATTAAACTCTATTTATATTTAGCCCTCTGAATAAACAAACATTTCTTAGGGACCTTATGTGCCAGGTATTATGCTAGATTCTTAGTATATAAAGATGAATCAAATAGCATTCATAAACAGCTTATAACTAGCAGAGGAGACACCAACATACATGGTACAGTTGAAAAGTGAGTTAAGTCCTTAAACTCTACTTAGGGAGGAAAGAAAAGGCTTCACAGAGGAAGTGATGACTCTCTAGGACTAACAATTGCTTCTTGGTCCATTTTTTTATTATTATTATTTTTTATTTATCTGCGAGATAGATTTACAGAGCGTGAAAGGGAGAAACAGAGAGAAAGATCTTCCATCTGCTGGTTCAATCCCCAAATGACCGCCAACAGCCAGAGCTGAACCAATCCAAAGCCAGGAGCCAGGAACGTCTTCCAGGTCTCCCGTGCAGGTGCAGGGGCCCAAGTGCTTGGGCCATCTACTACTGCTTTCCCAAGCCAGAGCAGAAAGCTGGATCGGAAGAGGAGCAGCCAGGACTAGAACCAGCACCCATACAGGATGCTGGCACCGCAGGCGGAGGATTAACCTACTGCATCACAGCACCAGCCCCTCTTGGTCCATTTTTGCTGCTAAAACAAAATACCTGAGACTGGGTAATTTACAAAAGTTTTTTTTTCTTACAGTTTTGGAAGCTGGGAAGTCCATGATGAAGGTGCCAGGAACACTGCAGTCTTACATGATGGAAGGCAGAAGGGTAAGCAAGCACCAAACATTGCATGAAGTCTCTTTTATAAGACCCTCACTCATATTCAAAAGGAGGAATCCCCATGGCCTAATCACTTCTAAAAAGCCCTCCCTCTTAATACTATCACATTGGCCATTAACTTTCAGCACCCAAATCTAGGCAAGGCATCCTCAAACCATAGTGAATTGCCAAACAAAGTAATAAAGGCATTCTAGGAAGAGCAAAAAGAAAATACAAATGAATGCGAAACTAAGAATACCTAGAATCCACAGAACAGCCATCAATATGATACTGCTCAAAGTGCACAAAACAGGAAATAACAGGACAAGATGAGAAGACAACCAAGAGCTGGACCTCAGAAGTCCTTCTATACCATGCTAAAGACTTATCCTCTAAGCTCATAGTTCTCAAACATGGATGTACACCATAATCATGTAGCTAAAAGGGAGTTTTACACTACCAAGTCAGCATAAATCCTTAACCTCAGTCTTCAAGAAACTGAACAGGAAAACATAGTAAGAACTTAAGCAGAAAAGTACCCTAAAATTTATACATTGAAAAAAATAATCACTCTATAACTAGCACTGTGAGACATAAAGGATGACAGAACTACCAACACATTAATTCTTTTGAAAGTAACTGAAATAGCAGAGAAACTGACCTTAGTACTAATTAAAAAAAAAAATGACAGTAAACTATTCTTTGGTTGATAATAGCCATGAGAAAACAGAAATAGGGCAATAAGTAAAAGAACACATAGAGATCTTTCTTTTAAGAACAAGCCAAATACATTTTGAGACTATGTGAGTGATAATGATAGGCACACAGGACAGAAAGAGCATACAGAATAAATGATTAAAAGTAAACAAGGTTATTGAGAAGGAAAGCGAGAAAGAATCAAAAGCAGAATTGAAGAGATCCACCTTGCAAACAAAGGGAAATTCCTTACAGTTCAATGATGAGAAAAAATATGTAAAGTTCATTTTCCTTGAAGAAAAACATGAAAACCAAAGAAATATTAAATTCTCCTTTAGTCTTTAATCTGAAAATTACTTCCACAACTGCCAAGTTAAGAATAAAAGTTCCAAATCAAGTTGTATTATTTGTTGTATAACTAAGGAGAATAATTCTCTTTGAACTATATTTAGAATCTCTTAAGAAATACATATTAGGCCACTTAATGCATATATAAAAATTACTTTCAGAGTTTATGAACACTATTTTGGGTAGTTATATAAAGTCCACAAAATAAGGGCTAGTATGAAAATTTAATAGTGAAATATAGTGAGATATGAAAAAACCAGCAGTCATCTACTATGTGTGGGAAGCAGGGTCCGTCTCCCACAACATGGCGGGGCGCCCGGGAGACAAATAAGTACTGAGACTGTGGACTGAAACTAACTCTATGCGTCTGATCTCCCACCATATGGCACTGAGAGGGAGTAAACAAATCTTACTCAGCTGCTTCGTCTATTAGCTGATTCCTGATCCAACCTCGGATTGGAGGAAAGCGGCGTGCTCAGCACCCGGGCAGCGGAGCACAGATTGGTGGGAGAGGACTATAAAAAGGGGAAAGAGACAACATGCAGAGCCCCCCTTAGAGAGCCAGTCAGAGAGCTCGTTGGTGCCGCTCCTCCGCAGAGGCGGGGGAGCAGCAGCAAATCCGGGAAGGACCAGGGAAAGAAAACAGTCCGGTGTCGTTCCTCCAGGAGTGGGGGAGCGACACTGTGTATCTATGTAAGGCCTTTGATTTAGATGCTGTTTACTTATTTATTCTTATTTATTTGAAAGGCTGAGTGGTATCTGAAAGGCTTAGACAGAAACACATTTTCCAGCCACTGGTTCATTCCCCCAAATGCCCACAATGCCCAAGGCTGAGCCAGGCCAAACCCTAGAGCCCAGAACTCAATCCAGGTCTCCTTGTGGATGGCAGGGACTCAAGTACTTGAGCCATCATCTGCTGCTTTTCAGGATGCATCAGCAGGAAGCTGATCAAAAGCAAAACCGTAAAAAGCTTGCATTAGTTCACTTGGGCTGCCATACAACACAGTATCATAGCTGCGTGGCTTGAACACAATTTTATTTTCTTACAATACTCAGGACTGAAGTACAAGATAAGGTGACAGCAGAGGTTGTGTCTGGTGAAGGCTCCTCCAATTAGGTTGCCATCTGCTGCTTTCTCACAGGGCTCACATGGCCTTTTCTTGCTATGTTGCTCCAGGAGATAGGTATCAGCTCTCTGGTGTCAACAATCCTATAGAAGCAGGGCCTCTTCCTTATATCATTTAACCTTAATCATTGCCCTAACAGCCCCACCTCCAAATAAGGCTATATGAGGGAGATTAAGGCATCGATCTATGAATTTTGGGTGGATACATTCAGTTTCAGCATAACAATGCCCAATATAATTTACTATTAAGAAAAATTTGGAGGCCGGTGTTGTGTAGCAGGTTTAGCCTCTGCCTACTATGTTGGCATCCCATATGGGTACTGGTTTGAGACCCAGATGCTTCACTTCTGATCCAGTTCCCTGTTAATGCACCTGGGAAAGCAGCTTAAGATAGTCCAAGTGCTTGGGCCCCTGCACCGACAGGGAGACCTGGAAGAAGCTCCAGGCTCCTAGCTTCAGCCTGACCCAGCCCCTAGACCACTAAGCCATTTGGGAAGTGAACCATCAGTTGGAAGATCTCTCCGTCTCTCCGCCTCTCTCTGTAACTCTGCCTTTCAAATAACAAAAAATAAATCTTTAAAAAAAAATTTGGGTCCTCTTTTATTGCAACCAAGCTCTTTTTATAATAATTCCTTTTAACAGTTCATTGAAAACAGATTTTTGTTTTGCTTTCATTCTTCTCTACTTTGTGATTAGAGAAAAGAAAACAACATTTGGTTTCTACAGATAAGAAGCAAAAGATCACTAAGGAACTAGATAGGGGCCAGCACTGGAGCACACCAAGTTGGGCCACCACTTGTGACAGCAGATTCTCATGTAGGAGTACCAGTTCAAGTACTGATCAAGCTTCTTACTGATGCACATTGGAAGGCAATGGAGGATGGCCCAACAACTTTGGTCCCAACACTCATGTTGAAAACCAGGATGGAGCTCCTTACCTCTTGGCTTTGTCCTGGCCCAGACCTGGCTTTTGTAGCCATTTGGGGAATGAAACAGAACAGCAGATGGAAGATCTGTTTCTGCCTCTCTCTCTGTTTTTCTGCCTTTCAAATAAATAAAATCTTAACAACAACAACAGGAACTAGATAGGAGGGTGAGCATTCTGTGCAGTGGTTAAGCCACCACCTGACACTTCCAGAACCCCTATCGCTGAAGTGTCTGGGTTTGAGTAGGCTTCACTCTCCATTCCAGTTCCTGCTAATAATGCACATCCTGGGAGGCAGCCAGGTAATGGCTCAAGTACTTGGGCCCTGCCACTAACGTGGGAAACTAAGAATGAGTTCTTGAGTCCTGGCTTCAGCCTGGCCTAACACCAGCTGTTGTAGATATTTGGGGAGTGAACAAAAGAATATGAGGGTTTTCTCTGCCTTTTTGTCTCTATTTCACATAATAGGAAAATAAATTAATTTTTTAAAACTAGATAGAGGGGGCCGGCACTGTGGCACAGGAGGTTAATCTTCCACCTGTGGCACCGGCATCCCATATGTGCACCGGTTCTAGTACCAGCTGCTACTCTTCCAATCCAGCTCTCTGCTGATGGCCTGGGAAAGCAGGCCTGCACCTGCACCTGCATGGGAGACCTGGAGGAAGCTCCTGGCTCCTAGCTTCAGATCAGCCCAGCTCTGGCCATTGCCACCGTTTGGGGAGTAAACCAGCGGATGAAAGACCTTTTTCTTTTTTTTTTTTTTTTTTAACTTTTATTTAATGAATATAAATTTCCAAAGTACGACTTATGGATTACAATGGCTTCCCCCCCATACCGTCCCTCCCACCCACAACCCTCCCCTTTCCCACTCCCTCTCCCCTTCCATTCACATCAAGATTCATTTTCGATTATCTTAATATACAGAAGATCAGCTTAGTATACATTAAGTAAGGATTTCAACAGTTTGCTCCCACACAGAAACATAAAGTGAAAAATAATAGATGATTTTTTTAAATGATGAAATCAGATCAGACCTATTGGAAAGACCTTTTGCTGTCTCTCCCTCTCACTGTCTGTAACTCTGTCAAATAAATAAAAATATTTTTTAAAAATTTAATTTAAAAAAATAAATAAATAAAACTAGATAGGGAAGAAAGAAAAAACAGAAACAAGGTTAACTCAGGGCAGAGACCTGACCCAATGTATAATAGTGTCTTGCATATAGAAAACACCCAATAAACAGTAGTTTTTTAAATGAAGGGGAGATAATATGGAAAGCAAGCATAAGAGGAAGACTAAGAGAAACAGAAGTATTTGAAGCAACTGAAATTTTTTGTTCTTGTTAAATATTCTACTGAATATCATAAATCCAGGAAAACAAAACAGATATACTGACCACTTTCACCATACTCAGCTTCTCATTTGTAATCTGTTCTGTATATTTTCTATATGCTGCATTTTTAGGCATCTGTTGAACAACATCAAGAATCTTCGTGTACAATATTCTCAGCCTCTGAAAAGACAAAGCATATTAATTTCCACAGGTTAAAAAACCACCACAAATTAGGGGAATATTTTAAAATCTGACCAAAACAAAACCAGTTAACTCTTCTTTGCTGTAATTTCTTCATGTCTATGCCCCAAAACCCCACCTTCTGGCTTAGGAAAGATGTGAGTATAAATGTGGAAACCTTTCTACATTTTGTCTGCATAACGAAAGTTGTACCTAAGTCAACAACGAGTACCAAGAAAAGCAACTTATTATACCTTACCTTTCTCAGAAATCAAATCACTTAGAAACCAGTATTTCTCTGGGCCAGCACTGTGGCGCAGTGGGTTAAAGCCCTGGCCTGAAGCACTGGCATCCCATATGGGCGCCAGTTCTAGTCCCAGCTGCTCCTCTTCTGATCCAGCTCTCTGCTGTGGCCTGAGAAAGCAGTAGAAGATGGCCTAAGTCCTTGGGCCCCTGCACCCGCGTGGGAGATCCATAAGAAGCTCCTGGCTCTTGCCTTTGGATCGGCACAGCTCCAGCTGTTGCGGTCATCTGGGGGGTGAACCAGCAGATAGAAGACCTCTCTCTCTGTCTCTACCTCTCTCTGCAACTCTATCTTTCAAATAAATAAAATAAATCTCTAAAAAAAGAAACCAGTGTTTCTCAAAATGAGGTCCTCAGCACTACAAATTTTCTTTTAGGTTTCTTTCCATGTTTCTTACTTGAATTTCATATTTGTAATTATTAGATCAATATGATCATATCTAAATGCATACAACCACAGTATTTCAATGTTGTTGCTTATGATTATGACTGGACTGATACCACCATCAGTTAATCACATGGTAAGAAGAAGTATGGCATATCCCAACTCACAATAAGTAATAATTTTTAAAAAATTACATACTATAAGTATGTAATTGAGAATGTTTTATTTTTCCTTGAAATTAATTTGAAATTTGTTTTAGTCTAACTGTATAAAACCCATAGGAGCTAATAAATAGTTTTATTCACATATTGAGTTCTCAAAAAATTCACAGAAAATGCTTATGAAAAAACCATAAATGAATTTCTAAAACTTTTACTCCAAAATAAACTTATCTTTTAATTCTGTTTTTCTCTTTTTGAGTCCTTCACATATGTATGCATAGATTACAAACATACACAAACCTTGAGAATCTTTAAGACAGGTTTTTCTTAGAAAGCAGTATGCATATTTATTCTTTATTTAGTATTTGAATATGATGATGCATAACAGAGACTATTTTACATTCAACAGGTTGGGTATCCCTTACCCAAAATTCAAAAGCGTTTTAAAGTTTTTGGATTTTCAAATACCTGAATACACATAATGAAATATCTTGAGGGATAGGACCCAAGTTTAAACACAAAACTCATTTGTTTCACAAATACCTTATATACACAACCTAAAGCTAATTTTATACCTTTTTTGTTGGCCCTGTTTTTGCTGTGAACCATCACAGAATCAAGTATGCAATTTTCCACTTAGGAGTCATGTCAGTACTTAAAACCTTCCAGATTTTTTAGCTTTTTGGATTTTGGATTTTCAGATTAGGGAGGCTCAAACTGCAGTGATGTAAACCTTGTCACATGTCATCAGAAATGAGGGGCAGAGGACTAAGCCTCATTTTTTCTGAACTTCTAGCAAAGAAAATGATAATATAAAGTTCTGGGCAAGAGACTTCTGTTCTGGGGCTGGTGCTGTGGCAAAGCAGGTAAAGTCACCGCCTGCAGTGCCAGCATCCCATATGTGTGCCAGTTTGTGGCCCGGCTGCTCCACTTCCAATCCAGCTCTCTGCTGGGAAAGAAGTGAAGGATGGCCCAAGTGCTTGGACCCCTGCACCTGTGTGGGAGACCTGGAAGAAGCTCCTACCTCCTGGCCTCAGATTGGCCCAGTTCCAGCCACTGCAGCTATTTGGGGAGTGAACTAGCATATGGAAGACATCTCTCTCCCTCACTCGCTCCCTCTGCCTCTCTGCAACTCTGCCTTTCAAATAAATTTTTTTTAAATCTCTATTTTTCTCTCTCCTGAAAAAAATATGGTCTTAGAACATTATGAATAGGGTGGGCATCTAATTTATCATCCAAGCCAGGTTACGTCAGGCAGTGAAAGTGGATAATATTAATCATTATGTCAAAACAGTATAAACCAGAACAATCCAGGTAAACAAGAAATATTCACTCTGTTTGTGAGCCTTTCAGTTATGTGTTCTCCCAAAGAACGTTCACTTTTTTGTTCAGTAAAAACATACTCTGCTCAGTACTATCATGTGTAACACTGTACTAAGCACTGCTGGATACACTGGATGTAAATTCTACTACCAGAATGCCTAAGGTATTATAAGACACAGGAGAGGAAAGTTATAAACACAATACAAAGTAAAGTGCAAGTGTGGCAGGGGTGGGAAATGTGTAGAGCAGAGAGAGACAAAGTATTGAGCAATGGTTAAGTGCAGACTCTCTAGCACCCAACTGCTGAAAAGCACTGGTTCCACAGCTTAGCTACACTCGACAAGTGACTTCCACGTCTGTTTTTGTTCCTCAATGTAAAATGGGGATAATAATACCTGCTTCATAGGATGTGGTATAACTTACAATAGCACCTGGCACTTTCAGCATCACTAAATGTTAGCATTATTATTCTTTAGGGGCCACGGGAAAGGTAACACCTGAGATATACCTGGAGCTGTTGGAGAAAGCAGTTTGCATTAAGACCAAATAGTAGAAAATTAAGCAAACAGAATATAGTTCTATTTTCTTGAATTGTGGTATACAACACAGTAAGTGCTACCCAAATATGGGTATGAAGCATTTGAAATGCAACTAGTCTAAACTAATATGTGTTAAGTATAAAAGTTTACTGGACTTTTAAAACTGGAAGACTATAAAATATCATTAATTTTATATAATTATATATTGAAATGATATTTCAAATATTAAGTTAAATAAAATTAACTTTTTCTTTTTAATAAAAAAGTGAATTCTAGAAAATTCAGGATGCAATTTGAACACGGCTAACATTTAAAATTCACATTGCATTTTTAAGTAGACAACATTTGGCTTACAGAAATGATCAGGAGATAAAGGTGGAGAAAAGGTCTGATTGTAACGACTTTGCAGTCCAAGTTAAAGTGTTTGGGCTTTATTCTCTGGACCATGAAAAGATTTAGAAAAATCAAATGATTTAGATTTGTGTTTCAGGAAAATTAAGCTAGCAGTGGGTTCAAAAGATCACAGAACAAATGAGGCAGAAAGGTCACTAACAAAGTTGCTGCGAGTCTCTAAACAAGGACAATGACCAAAACTATGGTTGTAATAGTAGGAACAGAAAAGGGGGTCACACTGAAGGGTTACTACAGAAAAGAATCAACAGGGGCCAGCGCTGTGGTATAGTGAGTAAAGCCACCACCTGCAGTGCCAGCACCCCATATGGGTGCTGGGTTCAAGTCCCAGCTGCTCCACTTCCGATCCAGCTCTCTGCTATGGCCTGGGAAAGCAGTAGAAGATGGCCCAAGTCCTTGGGCCCCTGCATCTGTGTGGGAGACCCAGAGGAAGCTCCTGGCTCCTGGCTTCAGATAGGTGCAGCTCCACCAGTGCAGCCAATTGAGGAGTGAACCAGCAGATGAAAGACCTCTCTCTTTCTCTCTTTCTCTCTGCCTCTCCTTCTCTCTGTATGTAACTCTGACTTTCAAATAAATAAATAGATCTTTAAAAAAAAAATCAACAGAGTTCATCTACTGGAATGGATATGAAGAAGGTACAAAGGCAAGAGAAATATTAACTATGATATCCAAATTCCCAGCCCCAGGAATAGAAAGATTCTGATACCAGAGTACCAGTCCTCAAGAAAGATGGAGAAACCATGAATTCAAACTTAGTCAATAACAAATATAAAGTCAATATGAACTCATAATGGGTACAAGACATTCATGCAACAGGTATTGTTTACCAATGACATACCATGTGCATGTCAGAGTTCCAGCAGTAAATAAAACAGTAAGGGAAAAAACCTCTGCCTTTATTAAACCAACATTTTAGTAGACACAGACAAACAAGATAAATCCATGCGATATGGTCTGTCGAACAGTGACCTATAGAGGCTCTGTAAATACCCAGGCTTTCATTTAGAGTGATATGGAGTCACTGGAAGAGTTTAAGGAAAGGAGCGGCATGACCTGACTTACATTTTAGCAGAATGTCTGGTGGCCTGGATGAAAAAACACTAACTGAGGCAGATAACAAGAGTTAGAGGCAGAAACTGGATGAGAAAACCCACAGCACTGATGATGGTAGCGGAGCAGATTATAATACCAGAGAGGTGGAGTCATGGTCAAAAATCTGGATATATGTTGAAGGTAGAATCTCCAGGATTTACTGCAGTTCTACATACAGAATGTGAAATAAAGGAAAGAATCCAAAATAATTTCAGAGTTTTTGACTTGGGTCAAAAGAATGGACTTGCAATTCACTTGGCTGAATGAACTTGAGGGAAAAGCAGATTTTAAGGAAAAGATCAAAGACCCCATTTTGGACAAAGTTTGGGTTGCCTGTCTGACATCCAAGTGCAGATGTGCACTAATCAGTTAAATATACAAGACTTTGATAAACTGAGAGGTCAGTATTTGATATGGAAATCTAAGAGTGACAAGTGTATAGATGGTACTTAAAATCATTAGAATCAGTCCTATCAGGAATAGAAAACAAAACTAAATAAATTTATTTATTTGAAAATCAGAGTTATAGAGAGAAGGCGAGACACACACAGAGGTATCTTCCATCTACCTGGTCACTCCCCAAATCAAGAACTAAATCTTGAAAAACAAAATTAAAAACCATGATAGGAAAGGACATATGGTACAGTGGTTAAGATGCAGCTGCTTGGCCAGCGCCGCGGCTCACTAGGCTAATCCTCCGCCTTGCGGCACTGGCACACCAGCTTCTAGTCCCGGTCGGGCACCGGACTCTGTCCTGGTTGCCCCTCTTCCAGGCCAGCTCTCTGCTGTGGCCAGGGAGTGCAGTGGAGGATGGCCCAGGTCCTTGGGCCCTGCACCTGCATGGGAGACCAGAAGCACCTAGCTCCTGGCTTCGGATCAGCGCGGTGTGCCGGCCACAGTGGCCATTGGAGGGTGAACCAACGGTAAAAGAAGACCTTTCTCTCTGTCTCTCTCTCTCACTGTCCACTCTGTCAAAAAAAAAAGAAAGAAAAAAAGAGATGCAGCTGCTTGAGACTGCCTGCATCCCTTAACAGAGTCCCAGCTCCATCTGGATTCCAACTTCCTGCGAATGTGCACCCTGAGCAGCAGGTGAGGGCTCAAGTCCTTGGATCCCCACCACCTACATGTGAGACCTGGACTAAGTTCCCAGCTCCCGGGCATTTGGGGAATTAACCAGCAGATGGAAGATGAAGATGTGTGTGTGTGTGTGCGCGCACGTGGGCACACGCACGGGTATCTCTCTCTCTCTGCCTCTCAGTAAGTATAAATAAATAAATAAGGATATGAGGACTAACCAGAAAAGCAGAAAACTAAAGACAGGGGGTTCACAACAGGAAACTGAATAATCTTGACATCCAACAAAGTGCTTGACAGAGAGCACCAAATGTGTCAATGCTGCCACTGGATCCATTAAGATGAGAAATGTAAGCAGCCCACCACTAGACTGGCACAAAGAAAATTATCAGTGACCTTAAAAGTGCATCCCAGGAGAAGTAAAAAATTGGAGAGAATAAGTATAAAAAGGAGAGAAATGGAGTGGTTATTGGAGAAGATTTAAAGGAGCTTCCTTTTTGATGGAAGCTTTCCTCAATGCTGATTAGAAAGAGGACCCAGTACAAGGGTAAAGGCACACCATCTACCCCCCCCCCGAGATAGCAGGGGGCCAATTGAAAAGGGGGGAATATCTAAATGGGGGCAGGCCCCCCATGGGGTCAGAGGTCTATGTCTCTGCAGTCCCAGATCTATTGGGACTCCCCCTAACCTACTGGGGAGCAAACAAAGTAGCACCCATGTTTTTTTCCCCCCCCCCCCCCCCCCCGCCCCATGGAGCTCCTGGCTTCAGCTCCTGCAGTTGGGGCCATTTGGGGAGCGCACCAGAGGATGGCAGACCTATCTCTGTAACTGCCTTTCCAGTAAATACATCTTTAAAATCAAAAAGAGAAAAGAAAGATACAGATTTAGGAGGGTGCTGACAAGAGAGAAGCTACAAGAAACCAAGGGGGAAAAAATCTCTAGAAATACAGTTTAACAGAGAGTCTGCAGGAAGGGCGAGTCTGCAGGAAGGGCGGTGCATCGGATCACGCTCTTGCCCTGAAGAGCGGGTTGTAGTTTGGGGTTTGAAATATCGGTATCCGGTTAACGCTGCAACACACAAGGTCACAGGGCTCCAATCTTCCTTGGGAACTTGAGGATTAGAAAAAAAAAAAAAAAAAAGTACCTACCTCGTGTGGACTTTCACATACAGCCAATCCCACAAGGCCAGTGGTCTGTTCAAAAACAAAACACGATTCATGCTGTTTACTGTGGTTTCCACGCGACCACCACGCGACGGAGCTGCAAAACCGCGACTCCCAGTCTAAACCTGGTCTAAGCCCGCTGCCCGTCGGGCAAGCCTCTTCGCAGAGTTCCGCGTCTCCGCGCCGAGCCCCCAGCCTGATCACCCCGAGAACAGTGCGTGGACAAAACCCCAAACCTCAGCACTCAGCCCGCACCCCCGGGGCAACGGGCTGTCAGGCTGAAGCCAGGCTGACACCCTCAATTCCCAAAGTGACCTCCACTTGTCTCACCTTCTTCAGCAAACCAGCCATGGCTGAGCCGAGAAGCCGAGAACGCACAGCCTTCTGGGAAACTGGCTCAGACTTGCTCAATCGAGGAGCCGAGAACATGCAGCCTTATGGAAACCTCGCTCAGACCTGCTCAATCGACCGCGGAAGCCGCCTCTCCGACACCTTGGAAACTGGTTTCGCTTACTCCAGATCTCCGAAAGAGCAAAACGCTGTGCCCCACAAATCCCAAAAGAAGAAAATTGACGCACCCGCAATGAATACACTAGGGGCCACGCTAGGCTTGGGGACCGTTGGCGGGAGGGTCGTGTGTTAACCTGTGTTATGTCTCGGCCCTGTCCCTACTAAGGCTGTTGGCTTGCCCAAAGTTGAGGGAAACACTCCAGACTACCAAAAGTATCTCCGATGCAGTCGCTGTAGACACCTGCACTCTGCTTAGCCTTTGGCGACTTCAACCTCCCTTAGTTGATTTCAAATAAATAATTAAATCATTTTTTAAAGAAGGTGAGCAGTAGTGGAGCTGAATTCACATCGACCAAAGTGCTCCTTGTCTGTATCCTCAGTCTTAGGAACCGAAGCAGCATGCAGTGTGGGGCGCTGCCCGGTGATTATTTGCGGCTTCCCTGGCTGCAGTACATCTTCCATTGTCTCGTTTTCCCAGCGGACGCGATACCACACCAGCGATTGAGCGCCCCCTATCTGCACGTTTCCGGGATGGAATCTGTAAAGCGGGATCTCACACTCCGGGATCCACAGAATGAAGATCTGAATCAATGAACGGCTTAGTAAGTTCTAAAAGAAGTGTGTGGTCGCGAGGAAAAGGCAATAACCAACCGAAGATGGTGGGTGACAAGTTAAACAAGGAATTTTTCTAAGTCAGTAGGAGAAAAGCGCAACAAATTCAAACAACACAGGAACATTGGGACAGATAGAATGTACACTATGACTGCAGGTGGTTTGATGTGAGTGGAAAGATGTGATAAGGTAAACTGCTTAAGGTCATGAATGGCCTACAGATTTTGTAATTTACTCTCTAAGAAATGAGAACAATTAGAATATTTTAAATATCTGAGTGATATCAAATTCATGTTTCAGGTACACAAATGACTGGTAACAGTTGAGGAGGAAGAGTTGGGAAAGAGGGCAAGATTAGGGACATGAAATTAGAAAAAGAAAACTAAATGAAAAGCAGAGCAAAAGAAATAATGATTAGAGCATAAATAAATGTTTTAATGGAGAAAAATCAGTAAAACCAGACATTGATTCTTGGAAAAGGTCGACAATACCTTTAGAAAAAAACAAGACTCACTACTGTCAAGAATAAAGAGCCATCATTCATGACTTTATAGAAATGAACAAGAATAAGAAGCAATACTGCAAACAACTGTATGTTAACAAATTAGATATTATAGGTAAAATAAATTCCTAGAAAGACACAAACTATGTATACAATTCAAAAAGAAATAGAAAATCTGAATAGATCTACAATGAGTAAAGAGATTGTATTAGCAAGGAAAAAACTGGATAGTTTTTTGGTGGGTGCAAAAAAAAAGCCCAGGTCCAGATAGTTCACTGGATAATTCCACCAAAAAACAGTCAACAAATACTCTTTCAGGAGTTATTCCAAAATATAGAAAAGGAGGAAATATTTCCTTCTATATGGCAAGTATTATTCCGATACCAACCAAAGAGATCACAAGAGAACTTCAGAACAATATCCCATATGAATAGACACAAAAATCCTTAAAAAATATGGCGAACTAAGTTCCGCAATATATGAAAAAGAATTGTGCACCATGATCAAGTGGGATTTATTATAAGAATAAAGGTTGGTTTAACATCCAAAAATGAATTAATATAGTGTACCATTTAATAGAATAAAGGACAAAAACTTTATGATTATTTCAGTAGATGCAAAGCAGCATTTGACAAAACCAATGCCCTTTCATGATAAAAGCAACCAACCAATTAGAAACAGAAAAGTCTTCAACCTAATAAGAAGAATTTAAGAAAATCTCACAGTTAACATCACACTTAAGGTGGAAATGCTGAATTCCTTCCTCATAAGATCAGTAACAAGGCAAAGATGTCAACTCTAGCCATTTCTATTTAACATTGTATTGGAAGTTTTTGCTAGGGCAATCAGGCAGTTCTGAAAATGGAGGGAATATGGAGAGATTTAGAATAAATGGAAAGAAGTAAAACTATCTCCACTCATAATGAAGGACCTTGAATATAGAAATATTAAAAAATGCACACAAAAACTATTAAATAAACTCAGAAAGGGTGCATTAATATAGCCAAGACCAGCTCAGGCTACCATTACAAAGTACAATAGAAAGTGGTGTTTAAACTACAGAAATTTATTTCTCATAGTTCTAGATCCTGGGATGTCAAAGTTCAAGATAGATAGTTCAAAGATAAGATAGATCGGTTGCTGAGGCCTTTTCTCTTGGCTTGTAGGTGGTTAATAGCTCAGTATGTACATGACCAAGAATGACCAAAAACAAATTTGAAAAAAGAACAAAGCTGGAAGACTTTTACTTCCATATCTCAAACATTACTACCAAAATGTATTACTCAAGATAGTGTGGTATTAGCAAAAGACTGACATTCAGATCAATAGAACATTTAGAGTCCAAAAATAGATCTTAACTTTGATTTTCAAGAGGGAGCTGGAATAAGTCAATGGAAAAACATTTTTTCGGCAACTGGTGCTGGGAAAACTGGATAGCCATGTGCAAGAGATTGAAGCTGGACCACCCCATCCCACATCACCCACCATAAAAATAATTTAGAATGGAACACAGGTCTATGGCCAGAGCTAAAACAATAAAACTCAGAATAAAAGCCCTAAGAAAAACTACTGGAGGCCAGCGCCATGGCTCACTAGGCTAATCCTCCACCTTGCGGCGCCGGCACACCGGGTTCTAGTCCCGGTCGGGGCGCCGGATTCTGTCCCGGTTGCCCCTCTTCCAGGCCAGCTCTCTGCTGTGGCCAGGGAGTACAGTGGAGGATGGCCCAAGTCCTTGGGCCCTGCACCCCATGGGAGACCAGGAGAAGTACTTGGCTCCTGGCTTCGGATCAGCGCAGTGCGCTGGCTGCAGTGCGCCGGCCGCGGGGGCCATTGGAGGGTGAACTAACGGCAAAGGAAGACCTTTCTCTCTGTCTTTCTCTCTTACTGTCCACTCTGCCTGTCAAAAAAAAAAAAAAAAAACTACTGGAAATTTTATAATCCTGGGTTAGGTAGTGGCTTCTTAGCAATAATACTAAAAGCACAAGCAACAAAAGAAAGATAATTTGGACTTCAAATTTGGGCTAAAACCCCATCAAAAATGGGTTCCGACCCTGTGGTATGAACAGCAGATGCTTTTGAGAAAGCAAGTAAATATAACAGGAGTAATAATTCTCTGGGAGTGGGAAAAATGCAAGAAAAGGTGCCCAGAGAGGTCCTCTGGAGACAGGTCAGAATGCAGTCTTTAACCTTGGGCCTCAGTAGATGAGCCGCGAGGTAAAATGTGCAAGTTTCATCTGTGTATACAAATAAATGGGCCTTACTACAATCTCACAGAGCCCACCTACAGATCACTGAATGATGAGTGTCATATAGCCATAGGCACTTCTCTAAGGGTTTTAAACAGGGAGCACTGGGATTGAGATTGATATTTACATAGATGTCACATCATTGGCAATGCAAAGAATATGTCTGAGTGTGGCAAGTGTAGGGGCAGGAAGGCCAAGTGCAAGAGTCTAAAAAAAAAATGAAAGAAAAACCATCAATAAAAAGATTGATGATTGTGACTGCATTAACACTTTAAACTTCTGAATAATCAAAGATGCAACTTAAATAATAAAACAACCCATAGGCTGGGAAGAGGCATTTGCAACCACATATAATAACCCAAAGATAAATGGTGCTTAGAATATGTAAGGAATTTCTGTAAATCAGTTTTAAAAATGAATACCCTAAAGTTCTCCTTGCTATCTTTCTTGTCTCCTTCTCCAGGATACATTAAGAGACTTAATATGGGCAAAATGGCTGGCTCAGTACCCAAAACATAACACCACGCATTTAATTGCTATCAACTTAACTGTTTCACTATGATTATTCTCAACCCAGTAGCTATAACAAACCTTTTCCACAGCACTTTGCTCAAAATCCTCATTGGATTTTTTTCACTCAAGTGTAAAAGCCAAAGTCTTTACACCTGCCTACAAAGTCCCCACCCCTCGCTTAGACACAGACACCTCAGCCAGTAGAATATATATAATGTACATACACACACACCTGCACATGCTCACATATGTGCAAGGGGACTGCCAAAAGTTTGTGGGGAAATGGAATGAAAAGATTAGTTGGAGCAAGAGTTGTGACATAGAGGATTGAGGATTAAGCCACTGCTTGAGTTGCCTGCATCCCAGGCCCAAGTGCTTAGGATAGAGTCTCACCTCCATTTCCCATTCAGCTTTCTGCTAATGTGCACCCTGTGAGACGGCAAGTAAAAGCTCAAGTACCTGTATCCCTGGTACCTGTATGGAAAATCCAGATGGAATTGCTGGCACCTGGCTTTGGCCTGGCCCTGGATCGGCTATTGAGGACATTTTGGGGGTAATCCAGTAGATGGAAGCTCTCTCTCTCTCTCTCTCTCTCTCTCTCTCTCATTCATTCATTCTGCCTTTCAAGTGAATAAATATAAACTTTTAAAAAGATAAGCTGATTTTGGTTTAGAAAATTTTGAAATCCATGCGTAGTTTTTTCATAGTATATATTTTGTCTGAGCTGTTTGAAGATTCCTCATATGCAGAGATTTCAAAATTTTTTGTACCTATATAAACTGATCTTATTTCATAAAATATACAAACTTTTTAAAGTCCTTTCACATAAATCTCCAAATTGCACAGGCTAAAATATAATCAAATAACTGGCAAAGCATTATTTATGTGTGCATCTGTGGTCTCTGAGAATGTTTCTAAAGAAATTAGTGTTAGAATCCATAGACTGAAGCAAAGACTACAGCCACAAATGTAGCTGTATATCATCTAATTTGTTGAAAATCAAAAAGGCCAAGAAACTCATTCTTCTTTGAGCTGGGATACACATTCCCTTTGACCCTCAGGCATCAGTGCTCCAAG